AGAATTTCTCATCCAGAAAAAACTCTATTATCGGCAACGTCTAGCACTCGCCAGTAGTCACAAACGTGACTCAAGGCTGCCTCATTAAGGCTAATAACTACTACGAATAGGAATTGGGACAAAAATGACAAACCTTGAAAATTACGCAAACTTTGCGATCCACTGGAAGTCAGGAATGAGTTAGCCTTTTTACTACAATAACGGGCCTCGATTCCAGTTGAAAATGCTGATCAAAAGTAAGCGAAGCGGCATCGGCAAAGCAAAATACACTCGTTTAGAAGCTAATCAATCCATCAGGCCTATGTGAATTAAAGTAACCCACTTCGGCTATCATTTTACCAGAAATTTATTTCTAATGTTACTAAAAACAAATTAAAATAAACTTAACACAACCGTTCGACGGAAAGTTGATCAAAGTTTGACCTTACTTGTCTCTTTGACACATTATAGCTTTGTGTTGAGAATGGCAAGACTCACCGACGATGCTGACTGCGATGCCAGTGAAACGTCTGAGAACGTACCAAATCCACGGTCAAAGGCTGGAAATTATCATAAGCATTATAGCAGAGGACTTCGGATGAGAAGCGTCTAACTAGGTTTTCCTGAAAATACGACTATGTGGCGAAAATTAGATCAAACCACATCTATATATTGGAAGAAGACTAAGGCCACATCATCTTAGTCTTCATATCTACTATTAAAAACTGATATTTTAGCGGGAATACCAAGAGAAGTAGCCCCACAGGTAAATCGTAATTATAGATGAAGTGATGTTCAATTAACGTTCTTATATATCATCAATAAATAAACTCATTTTGTGTGAAATTGAGTGAAGATATTCGGAGGTGATAGTTGCGAGGAAATGGCTTATTACGACTTTCAGGCTAAAGGAACTTTCAAGAAGGCCTTTTCGGCTCCGTCAAAGCGTACTGAGTAAGAACATCACCAGAGCTAAAGCCTATTCTTATGTTGGCAACTTTGTTGAATCATACAGCCTCAATGAATGAGAAATAACGTTTAGCTGTAATGTATACTATTGGCCCAGGCAATTAGCTGGTTAAGGAGATAGCTTTTGAAATGTTTTGCTCAGAAGGATTGTAGAGTATGGGGATTAAATTTGTCTGCATTCTAAAAAAGGATAGATTTTCTCTTAAATTTAAAAGCAGTTTATTAAGTCCACTGCATATCGTTTGACATAAAAAAATCTATCTCTATTATAGGTTTCGCTTATATAATGAACAATATGGAGCAGTGAACTAGCAATCTAATAAATAAGAAGTTGTTTGACCTTGTTTTCACAACTTGGTCATATTAGTAGGAAGACTTATAGGAACGCACCTTGTCCTGAGTCCGTTGTATGCATAATTATTTCCAAAGTTGGACCGTGGGCGTGATACATTCCCAGACGTTTCGCCGGCATCTTCAGTAAGTTTTGCCAATTTAAGCACCATAATACAACTCGTCAAAGAGACAAGTAAAGCCGATCCTGTGACCAAATGTATGCTAAACAGTTGTGTTATTTCTCCTTCTGCCCTAAGTTATTCACATTTCCCATATCCTCGTATCACGCCCTCACTGTTACAATTTTGACCGTGCTTATTTAGAGGTAGTGTAGTGTGCCCTTTTGAGCGGCCGTCATGAGAACCGTCCACACTAGACGCTGGCGTTCTCACACCCCTTCACCCTTGTGTTGGGAATGTCAATCAGAGTTTGCCATATTGTTACGCGGTCCTCCTCCCTTAGGTCTTATCAGAGCCTCCCTCTTGCCCTGTAGAATCCGTCTGCTATCGCCCTGGTTCAAGTATCTCACTCGACCTCTGCCACCCCATCTGTGCTACTCTAGGCGTTATTTCCCTAATTCGAGGCTAAAGTCACTGAGTAAGTCTCATGGTCAAGCCTTTGCTACATAGACCATGGTAAAACAGGCCCACTGTCAGCCAACTAGATCTAGTCTCCACAGCGTCTATCCTGTTTATGTCCGCACACAACACTACATCTAAATAAGCAGGGTAAAAATTGTAACAGTGAAGGCGTGATACGAATATATAGGAAATGTGAATAGCCCAGGGCAGAAGGAGATATACCACAACTGTTAAGCACACATTTAGTAAGAGGATCGGCTTGACTTTTGCCTTTGACGAGTTGTAGTGTGGTGCTAAGAATGGTAAGACTCACTTACGATAGCGGCGACACGTCTGGGAATGCGCCACGTCTACGGTCCGACTTTGGAAATGATCATGCACACAATGGATTCCGGACTAGGTGCGTTCCTCTAAGTCTTTCTACGAATATGACCAAGTTGCGAAAACAAGGTCAAACAACTTATATACGACAGGAGACTGCGACCACACAAGAGGCCACAGCATCTTGGTCTACATATCTTCTAATAAATAAGGTTTGCACATTCAAAACGAATAAATACCAAGTAAGATGATGGATTTGATTATTTACCCACAGCAAATCAAAATTGAATAAAAGCATAAATTTTAAGCAGAATCGCATAATAATCTTAGTGTGATGACGTATACTCGAAATAGATTTAGCCTAGTATTTGCGTAGCAATGAGAATCCGTTTTTTTCATGCCTTTCTTACAATATGCGAAAGCCCAGCTCGTCCTCATCGGAACCGAAGTAAGATTTTTGATGTCATGGTGATGCAAAGATACTGTTTAGACATGGGGATCGACCATCGTCGTCTGGTGAGATCGACCTAAGAATCTCGTCAGGTACTCTCACATGAAATAAAAGTCACCTTAATAATAAATGATTATTAGAGGGACCTTCATTTCGTATGAAAGTGCATGAAGAAGAGATTCGTTGGTCGATCTCACCAGA